CCATGCAACTTCGAAGTGGTACTTACATAAACCTGGCATGCTGTGATGTGAAACTCACTTAGATCAAATTCGGAATGCCATATCAATGCTTGTTTATGCCAACAATGATATTCTCTCGCCTTACAGTATCTCCCCAGTGGCTATTCATCCATTCGATGTTAACGGTCATTTTTTTGGCTTTCAGCGTGTAAGCAGGGTTAGTAACTGCTGTCAAGGCAGATCTACACCCAGATTATATATGTCTCTCTATATTGGCATTTTAGAAGCTCAATTTACATCACTAGGCCACTTCCAGTCTAATTCAGATTTGAATTTCGTTCGTTAATAATGTTCGCTCGTCATTTTCCACAAATGCAAACGACAAGCGCTCGTGAAAAGACTGATGGTTTACTAAAAAACAAAATTTTGCTTCGAAGCCATTGTTACCACAATGCATTTTAGATGGCTGTATCTTCTAACTCCCCTATAGTTCACAAGACCAATTGTAGAGGAGACTCCCACACACCTATATACTGAAAATATTAATTTTGATAAGAAATTCGAAAAAATATTATAATTACCCGGCTGTGTTATTTAACAGCTGCTTATGCTTCTGACAATTCGTAAAACTCTCAAATGCCACCAAAAAATGATTGCTGCAGAGGCTTAGTGTAGGAAGTAAAGAAGTTACCTAAAAATTAAAGCGTAGAAAACGAAAGTAATGTAAAGTATCGGTGTGCCTTTGGCGAGATCGCAGGCAGGCAATGTTGATTTGAATGAAGTTGACTGTTACGTAGAAAGTTTAGGAAGCAAATACACCCCACAATCTCCAGCTGAAAAATGCACACAAAAAAGCCGCTAGTATGTGCAAATCTCACAACATTGCCGATGTCCTCCAAGTGTCGAATCAAAAAGACGTGTCCATCTTTTCAGTATTATTGTGCTAAAGTACTGCTCACGGATGCGAAACGCTATCACTGGCGAAAGTTGAAGAGCGAACGATAGAGCGCATGATGCTTGGCGTTTTTTTTTTTTTTTGACTATATAGACAATCAGGCTCTCCGTCAAATATAAGCAGCATACAGGTTGTCGTTGCAGTCACTCAAAGTAAAATTCGGTCGGCTCAGCGTATTGTTCAGAATCGAAGGACACAATATATGCTTCTTACTCGGTACGTGACAGCATCTCCGTAACATAGTACTAACCGCGGGAGTTTTCCTT